CCCATATATACCCAAGTTCAATAATTTGTAGAAAACTACAAAAAAGTGTAACAAATTTTCACCTAAATTTCAAACTTTTTTCTCGGAAGTGTTTGAATTTTTCTGAATAAACAGTTTTATAGCCCAATCAATTTTAGTCTGATAATGTGCAAGTTTCAAGTGGCCAAAAGTTACCGCTGATTTTTTAGAATTTTTTTCGCCAAGGATGTTGCGGTTTTCTTCCACATACAAATAAATTGAGTTTATTCATTATATGGAAGCCAATGCGACAAAAAAAATTCTAAAAAATTAACGGTAATTCGTAGCCACTTGAAATTTGCACATTAAAATTGCTAAAATTGCAGGGGCTAAGAAACTGTGTACTCAAAAAAAATCGATCACTTCCGAGAAAAAAGTTTGAAATTTAGGTGAAAATTTGTTACACTTTTTTGTAGTTTTCTACAAATTATTGAACTTGGGTATATATGGGGTTTGTCCGACAATGAACTAAATTTTAATTGAAAATTCTTAAAAATAAAGAAATAAGCATAAGTGACACACAATATCACTTTGAAATGGCGTGCTATAGATATGACCGATACTGTACCTATGCAAAAGCCACAAGAACCCAAATTTTCAACTTCAAACTGCATTTACAGTGAACGTATGAAAGTTATCCAAAAACCAATTGCATTTTTGAATTTAGCATCCCCAATTTTACTAAGAAACGAATTTCATTTAAATCCGCCCATAATTCTATTTTTGCCCACATTTTATATGGAACTGTGTGTCGGGGCGAATAGGCAGGCAGGCATTGGAGTCTCTATAACTACAAAAACCTTTTTTTTCGGAATAAATCTTAAATATATTGAGAAATTTAGAATTTTACTTGATGAATTCGCAAAATAACACAAAATTCAGTTTTTTCTTAAAAATTAATCTTACAATGCAAGTTTTTTTATTTTAAACTTGCATTTAAGAAACCTCCATTCAATGCTAAATTACGATTTGAGTTTTCGAGTTTATAGAAACACAAGCATTAATTATGTACTTAACTATTGATATTATTCTAAATTAAACATTGATATTATACTTCACCTACAGGTTTATTACTGTATATACTGTGGGCTCAATAGCTTCAGTAGATTTCTGTGCCTTGCTTGTTGACTAGGAAAACATGCTTGAAATTTGGAAAGACATTTAAAAGCAGTCCGTTTACTACCATACGAAAGCTATTTCCGCTAAATTGCGGTTGCATATGATATGCACAATGGGCCGTATGCATAAAAAATAAGCAATTGCTTTCTCTTGAAATTTCATACCTTTCATTTAAATTTATTTGAACAAATCGAATAAACGGTCTGAAATTTTAAGAAAAAGCATTTGCTTAGTCTTTATGCATACGGACTAATATGCAAATTAGGGTGGTCCTTAAATGTGGGAAGCAAATTTTTACTTTAGAGTTCCTAAGCCTCAACCCCTACGTCGATGGTACTACAGTCGAAGATATCACATATAAATTTTGGTCCCGATTGTAGACGGTTTTCAAGCATGTTTTCTAATCTTTTGTCAACACATTTTCCATTTTTAACTATAATTTCATTCGTTTTGTTTATCTCAAATAGTTGGTCGCCGCTGTGGTGTAGTGGTAAGCAGTGCACGCTTCCACTCCGCAGCACCTGGGTTCAAACCCTGGTCAAAGCAACATCGCCCAAAAATTAGAAAAAAGGTTTTTTCTTATCAGCGGTCGTCCCTCGGCAGGCAATGGAAAACCACCGAGTGTTTTTCTGCCATGAAAAACAGCTTCTCATAAAAATACAATCGCCGTTCGGAGTCGGCGTAAAACTGTAGGTCCCTCCGCTTTGTGTGACAACATTAAGGCGCACGCCACAAGTCGGAGGAGAAGCTCGGCCAAACACTAACACTAAGCGCCAATCTAATATTATTGTTATTATCTTCGACTTTAGTAGTATAGATATTGGATATTAAATGAAAAATATATATATTGTAAGATTACAAATAAAAGAAAATGTAAAATGCACACTGTGGCAGCCCTGTTGCTTATGGCAGCACTGAACACTGAACAATAACAAATTGAAAAAAAGAATAAAGAAACTAAAGAAGAAAGGAAGATACTTCACTTCCGGTTTTGATATAAAGCGAACAACGTTGTTTTCTCTAGCGAAAAAAATAGAATCTTCAACCATCACTAAACACACCAGGAAATCTTGGAATTTATAACATCAGGTGTGAGCTCAAGACCAGACTACAATTAAATCAAATTATATTTCACAAGTTCTGACATTATGGCCGATATTCGAGACGAAATAATCAAATCGCTCACCGAGTTGGGCGTGGATTCTCCTCATACAGCCACAATCGGCCAATTGCGCCGTCTTTTAAGGGATGTGGTCGGAGATGGGGCAAGCAATATATCCATCACCACCGATTCAACCGAAATTGCCTCCCAGGCAGATACTGCCGCTGCTGCCGAAATCACCGAAATGGTCACTACTTCTGCCGTTGTAAACGCTATTACAACCCCTATTTCTACTGCCGTTGCCGATACTATTACCACCGCTGCTACTGCCGTCACCGCCGCCACCAATACTATTGCCACCACCACTGCCGCTAACGCTGCTGCCGTTACCAATATCATTGCCGTCACCACCGCCGCTAACGCCACTGCCGTCACCAATGCCTCTGCCGTCACCACTGCCGCTGCCGTCGCCACTGCCGCTGCCGTCACCACTGCCACTACCGTTGCTGCTGTCTCCGATACCACTGCCGCTACTGCCTCATTTGTAGATACCGCCGTTGACACTAACTACAATAATAATACGATTGACCTTGCCGCCAATCCCGGTGCCACGGGTATAAACAATATCGATAACGAACTAACTGCATTACGTAAAAGAGTTGAAATGTTGCGGCTAATGAAGGAAATCAACGATTTGGGGGGCAGTGCTGGCTCATCACAACAACAACGACGATTAGATTATGGAGATATTGAGCACGCACTCCCAAAATTTAGCGGAGATGACATCTCAATGTCCATCACGGATTTTATTCGAGATTTTGAGGAGGTTACTGAGGCGTCAGGGGCAGACGATCGTTTCAGATTGGTAGCACTCCGCCGTTGTTTGACCGGTACAGCTAAAGTTTTCTTATCATCTACAACAGCTCTAAATTATGGAGCACTTAAAAAAGCTCTAGA